TAGTATTTTTCAACACTCTGGTGCACTCAAAAAGCTAATTCTTTTATGTTTTCAGCTTTCTCAGGCATGAGTCTGGGAGATGTTCTTGAAATAGTTATTCTTAGGAAGATTTATAAATCACTACTTTGCGTTGGCTGAATTCTCCTGTGAGATGGGAGAATTGAACTCTTTCATCTTAATGTGATACCTCATGTTAGTGCCTCTGGTCTTGGATTAAACTTGAATTCAAGACTTGTTTAATAAAGGAGAAGGTTGCTTTGAGGAGAAAATAAGATTAATTTCCTTCTCCCCACACTCAAAATGCGAGTTAAAAATCTTTCATGTCTATTTTGCTCTGAAGGGGTTTGCACTTGCAGGTGATTTGCCATAACACAAAGGCTTGCTGTTCCTGCTTCAGATTGTTCCAAGCAAATTACTGAAGAACTAGTGATTGAGGTTTTGTCTCAGTTGGAGAGTCCCAACCTGAATGATACTGGGTTACTTTCTGAGTTTCCAAAAGTGCCAGACAAAGTTGCTCTTACTTTGCAAAATCTGTGGCCTTAACTGTAAGCCAATAGAAATATTTGAGGACTTACTTTGCTTTTAAATTTAACTTGAATAAAATTTTAAAAACAAAATTGGACACTCTACCACATTTGGTAAGGTAGGTCCACTTTGCAGTGTATTTGTGCTGTTTTGCACAAGTATCCTGAATTTACTTGAGGTTGCTTATTTTTTTATAAAATATAAGCCCTACTGCTGATTGTTGCTTGTGTGTGGCTCAGCATAGCTGTAGGCGAGTGGCAAGTGTCTTAAGCTTATTTTCCATTTTTTTTGTCCTATCCTACTTCTCCCCTGCCTCAGCTGGGCATGTTGTAGGTGCTGTTACAACACACGTGCCATTTACATATCAGGTAATGAAGTGTCAGCTCCCAATTCCCAGCACATGGATCGCTGGTGGGATGGTGGCCTCTGCTGCAGGAGATACAAAGTTAGTCCTCCAACTCCTAAAGGAACAAACTGGTCTGATCACTTGGGAGCTTTGCTTTGTGGCAGGTTTAGTTCTGTGTCCAGATCTGGCTTTGTAACTTGCATTTGTCTCATGCTTTGGCCTACTTGAACAAAGGAAATAAAGCATGGCTTCCAAAAATGTCTTGATTCTTAAAGAAAAGAAGGCTTGTAGACGAGCAGTACTTTCTTTGAGCTTGAGTCCAAATTGCAAAATGAGTTTTGGGCTGCAAGTAATGTTTTGCTGTTTGTTTTATTTTAGAATCCCGTTTTAGTAGTGCACTGCGCTTGGGTTTTGTGCATGTCGAGCACAGTGAGTTCTTACACATCCTCAGAAAGGCTTGGACTCTGTTGAACATGCATGCCTGGGAAAAGCCTCTCAGTTCCGTGGGAATAGGCGAGGCAGACAGAGCTAGCCTGCAGGGGAAGGGCCCTGGGAGGAGCCCAGGGCAATCCCACTCCTGCCCCTGCTCTGGGGGATTTGCTGTATGAAATCACCTCGTGAGTGAGCAGGGAGTCACTCAGATCCACGGAACTGCGAGCACTGACACGAGACTAAAGCTGCTGCTGCTTGGTGCCTTAGTGCTGAACACTAAAATGTTTGTGCCAGCTTATTTCAGCTTAAAACTCAGAAAAGAAATCTCTGTAAATGCCTGGGTGGTGCTGGTGAGCACTGGGTTGCCATCAGTCTGCCTTACCCCCCTGTTTTAGTGCAGCGCTAGAAGAACAGCCCTGCCTGTTCTGCTGGGTTTGACAAAGCAGAAAAAGGACAGTCAGTGTCAGAATGAGCCCAGTCTGCTTCGAGGAAGCAGCTTCTTTCCTGCTTTTTAGGAGGATATTTAAGAATTTGATATGAATTGCAGTGCAGTGCTTCATCTGCTAAGGGAGGCAGTGTGAGAACTGTGGATCTCCTTGCACTATTCAGAAATGCACACAACTCTCACTCCAAATCCTGTGTTAATGGAGTTAATGAACAGTGAGACAGCTGCTTCCATTGATGTCTGTGTGAAAAGGCTTTCAGGGGAATGGAAATGTGGCATCCATGGTGGAAGTGCTCTTTTACTAAGTTCAGTTGCCTTTGCCAAGTGCTGCTGTGCTCTGACAGCTGGCTTGGATCCACCTGTGCCTTTGGGATGGCTTCTCTAGGACTCACTGGGACACTGGACTTGGGGCTGGGATTAAATGCACATCACTAATGCTCCTCACTCAGACTGACTCCAGCATCCTTCCTCAAGCAATCTGAATTTGGGGATCTGTCAGATTAGAGGATGCTATTTTTATCAGTACATTCAGCATAGTTTCAGTATCTTCCCTCACTGTGTCCTTTACATGTTGAAATTTGTTTTTTGTTGAAATTTTTCTTGGATACTCCCCATTAAATCTCTTCAGGAGCTGCCACATGAGAAATCTATGCTGTGTAACTATTTGTACTGTAAAGAAAGCAATGAGCTGCCTTTGAACTAAATGGGATTTTCAGATCTGTCTGTTGTTTGGGATTGTCTTAAGAGCAAGTATCTGCCTTGTGAAAAGCAGAACTGGTTTGTATTGTAACAAGTGCTCTTTCAATAAACTATGAAATACTCTTGTAAGTGTCAGACTTGTATCAGTGAAATGGAAATGAAACTTGACTGCGGGCTTGTCCCGCTTTTATTTTTTATCTTGGGGTTGGGCTTGTTCCAGTGGGGTTATAAAGGTTTCTTTAATTGTTCCTCAGTCTGATTCTTTTAAGTTCATCCACCCTGGTGTTTGTGCTGTTAGGTGGAATGCAGCAAAGCAGACTTGTGTCCATCTCAGCTTATTTCAATTCAGTATAAAAGAAAATAAGAGCTTTTTGTAGCACAAGGAACTGTAAACCATTCCCGTCTTCAGTGCTGCCCCATTGTACCATCCTGTGTGCTGTTTGTCTGAATTCTGGAGAAACACAGAGCTGGCTGTTCTCCCTTTATTTGCTCATTGAAGGCAAAAGAAATGGACTTTTCTGTGCACCTCAAATGCAGGGGAGAATCACACAGCAGCACCTTGGCAGCCAGCACGTCCCAGCTGCTGTGGCTTCTGCTTTAACTGCTCCAGTCTGGTCTTAAGGAGCTTTGTCTGGTTTGAGTGTGTGGGGTCTGGGTTTGTTGGTGGGTTGGGCTCTTTTTGTTTCCCCCAATCCCCCATTCCCTCTCCTGCTCTTCAGTTTCTCCAGAAGAATCTGGAAAGATTCTACTAAAACTGTACTTGAAGAGCTTTCCATTTCTACAATTTAGCTGCTCAAAATGACATTATCAACTTCAGACTACAGGAAAATAAATTACTTTGCCCTTCCTTGCAAGTGAGAGAAGCTTATTTGTGTCACTTTGCAGCTCACCAGTTTTATTTGGGTTTCAAATGTAATAGCATTGTCTGCATGGAATGGGGGAAATACATAAAAAAAAAAAGTGCCTTTGTGTTAAAAAAAAGTCAGGATGATGCTGGGCATTTCAGAAGAGTAGATAAGTCTGATACTTCATGAGAAGTCTCATGGAGTCTAGAATAGATTTTTGGTGAATCTAAGAATTTCAGAATGAATATCAAAAGAAAGGATATGTATTTGTTTTGTTTGCAGTACTTAGCTGCTGGGCTGAGGTTACTTGCTGTGGCAGTAAGTAGCCAACTCAGGGTGAATGGAGCAGAAACAACTGAAGAAGGAGCATTTTAGCCAAATTAAATACTCAAGAGGAAATTAGAAAATGAAAATGCAGCCATCATATGAAGGCCATATGAAGTTCAATTTTGCTCTCAGGGGTTGTTGAATTTGTGATGTTCAAAATCCTGCACTTTCTAAGGGCACAGCTACCATTTGTTAATGCTGCTTTCAGAAAATATTACTGGTGAACCTGAAGCAGTGTTCTGGAGGTGTGTCTCCTTTCCAGATGGAGTCCAAAGCCTTTCTGACTGAAGCTGACACCAGCATGTTGTGGATAAGTGATGCAGCTCTTTAGTGGGATGCTTAAGGGGGATGGGAGGAAAATGTAAACCTTTTCTTCTGTAGCTCTTGGACTTAAGAACCTATTATTGCAAACTGGGCACTGCAGAAGAATTTTAGGATTTGGAACTGTGGAAGAGAAAAGGTTGGAGTACAAGATGAGTGCCTTCAAGAATTCTCCTTAAGAACTCAGCAATGCCCTTAGTGAATTGTTGTGGTAACTCTTGTGTAAAAATCTTGAGAAACCAGTTTAATTTGTATAATAATATGTCAAAGGTTTGTCTTAAAAAAATAAAATACCCTGGTGGGATAGGCTTTGAGACCAAGAGCACTGTGACAGGTCTGTTCTAACTTGTATTTGTTTTGCCAGCAAATAATAAAAGGCTCATTAGGTTTAAGTAGCATTTATTTCAAGGCACGATAAGGTCTGAACAGGAAGAAAATGCCTTTGTACCAGAAGCTGTTGCTGAAGTGTTCCTCGTGGGGAAGCCACTGCACAGACTTCTCTGCCAGTGCCGTGGTGGTTTTTATCTTCTGGTGTCTTAAACACACATGTGAGAGAGATCTGCTTGCATGCCGTGGGGAAAATCTAATTGAAAACAAAATGCTTCCCCCACTAATATTTGAAATCAATTTTTTTAAATAAAAAGGCAAATTAGTGGTGCTGTTAATCCTTCTGTTTGAGAAAATGAAGGTGAATAATCCTCCCCTTTCAAATTTATTTTTGCATTTTTCTCTATTTCTGCCTCTTCCCTACCCCTCTGAAAGCAGCAGGCAGCCTCCAGATAAAATCCCCTTCTTCCTGTCTTTAGCAAAAACCCCACCAAAAGAACATCCTAAAGCTTTGCCTCTTCTGGACACTGTGTACATGTAAATGTGATTTTAGAGAGCAGCTCTTCTGTCTGGTGTTGGCCTCTGTGTTCTCTTTCCAGGGGGGTTGCCCTGGAGCAGTGCTGGTGTGTGACCTGTCTGCGATCTGTGTCTGTCACTCCGAGCTCTTGGTGTCTCTCAGCTTCCTCCTGGCTCTTGTCTGTCCTCCTACACAGCCTCTCCTCTCTCCCCACAGGACTATGAGAGCAAACTGCAGGCCCTGCAGAAGCAGGTGGAGACACGGTCCTTGGCAGCTGAAACAACAGAGGAGGAGGAAGAGGAGGAGGAGGAAGGTGAGTTTGAAGCTAAAAATAATTTGGATATAGGCTGAAGTCTAAAGGAACAGCTGCTGTGTCATCTCGTAATAGATAGAAAACTTGCTTTGGAAAGCTGCAAAACACTGCAAGTTCTTGATCTTTAATCCTCTCAGCATCAAGATTTCAATACTCATTTATAGAATACATTCCACATGAACAGTAGGCATACGTCTGCAAACACAGCTGATGCACAAACTAGATTAGTTTTACCCAAGCTTTAATTTGGTGCTCTTGAAGGAATCTCTTTCTGGCATTAATAGAGCTCAGATGTCTTAAAACAAAATAACACTGTTGCCTTTGTTTCCTTGTTTTAATCTTGAAGTTTCTCTTTCCTCCTTGCTAGGAATTCCTAGAATGCTGTGACATGTCTGTAGAACTCCATTTCTGGACAGTAGATAATTTATTATTCTCATTATACTTGCTCTCATTCCTCTCTTTCAGCGTTTGCCTTTAATAATTGCCAAATAACCTAAAATAACAGGAGCAGAAAAAGATCTGTTTCCTCTGTTCCAAATCTCATTTACATGATCATTAATCTGCACTGCAAATGTTGAGGAAGTTTGAGTCCAGTTTTTCCATGATGAATAATTAAAATGTAGGGTTTTGTTTTCTGCTCTTCCAGAAAATGTGTTGAGAGCTTGATGGCACAGTCAGCAGGAGTATTGGATACGGCATGTGATGGTTTTGAGAGGAAGCCACATTGTTTTATTCCTCTGTTTCTTTGCTCTTCCCAGTGCCCTGGACACGCCATGAATACGAACTCGCCCAGTGGGCTTTCAGGAAGTGGAAATTCCACCAGTTCACTTCCCTGAGGGACCAGCTCTGGGGAAATGCAGTGTACCTGAAGGAAGCCAATGCAATCAGTGTAGAGTTAAAGAAAAAGGTAGAGCCAGTTTTTGAATTTTCTGACCCATCAGTTTTGATTGTATAATCCTGCTGTAAATGCTCTGAGTTTCTTGCATGTCTCTTGCTTATCGATTTGGGCTGTAGAAGGGTTCAGAAAACTGTGACTCCTTGGTTTGGGCTGTCTGGGTGAACGTCCCCCACCAGCACCTGCTTCAAGGACCAAAGCGGGGTGTCCCTCACGTGCAGGTGCAGTTCCAGTTCGTGCTGCTCACGGACACGCTGTACTCCCCGCTGCCCCCGGAGCTGCTGCCCGCGGAGCCGGAGAAGAGCCGGGAGCGCCGGCCTTTCCCCCGCACCGTGGTGGCCGTGGAGGTGCAGGACCTGAAGAACGGAGCGACGCACTACTGGTCCTTAGAAAAACTCAAGTATGTCACTAGTCTTAGAGAGCAAAATTCCCTGTGTCCGAGGAGCTTCACTCAAAAATTCCTTCCCTCGCTGTTCCTTACCGATTTCTGGTTTTTCTCTGTGTCCTCCCAAACTTTCTAGTCAGTGTGGGATGTTCTAAATACCAGCTTTTCAGATTGTTTGAACAAGAGCACTTTTCTCCAGCTTCTTACCTTACCTTCATATCTAATTTTTGTAGTTTGAGGTTACACTTTATCTTTTGAATGTAGTAAGACTCATCACAGCTCATCTCTGTGCGTTAGTTTTTTCAGTCCTTCCACTGTAATACTTTCCTTGCCACCTGCTTTATATAAGCTGGCAGTATAGGACATAACTTATGATAAAAATCTTGAATAAAGAAGATTTTATTTCTGTGGAAGTACACAAATTCTGTTACAAATTCTGTCTGCAATCTGAATTATTTTCATCATATGTAAATGACATTTCTTTTCCCCATTCTCTAAATATTGACTGAAGGACTTTTTTCCTGCTAATAACTTCCAGACAAAGGATCTTGCAGTGTGAAACACTTGTTTTCTTCGATGAAATAAATGGATAATTAGAGTCTATAATGGAATTGGTTCACTTTCGAATCAGAATGCCCACATTTCTGGAGTGGAATACAAAGAACTGCCAAAATTACTCAGTGACATGGTCTGATAAAAAAAATTGAAGCAAAAAATATGCCAGGATTAGATGTGAAAGAGGAATATTTAGAAGTGAATTGAAATCCAAGATTTATGTAAGCTTCTGCAGTGACCTTGCCTTGTGCTTAAGGGCTTAGCTGACAGCCAGGCTCTAACATTTTGGGGAACTAGTGAAGCACCAAACGTAGGGCACAGCCTCCTCTGTTCTTGGGTGTAACTCGGTACGGGTGAAGCCAGTGAGGTGCACAGCTGGCTTTGTGCTCTCTGCCTCTTGACCCTCTCTGAGCTCTTCGCTGCGCTGTGCCCGCAGGCAGCGGCTGGAGCTGATGCGGGAGATGTACGACCGCGCGGGGGAAGTGGCCTCCGGCAGCCAGGAGGAGCCCGAGGGCTCCATGACGGGCAGCGACCCCTTCTACGACCGCTTCCACTGGTTCAAGCTCGTGGGCAGGTACGGACGGCGCCTCGCTGCTCTGGCAGCTCTGGCTCAACTGAATGATTCAGTGCTGAATAAACCGTGTGGCCGCTGTGTCAGCTGGGTCTTGTCTTTCAGGGATTTGGAACAGACTTTAAATGCAGTTAAGAATAGAAAATGCTCTCTAAAATGTTGCCAGTTCAGGTGTCTAGTGGTAGAATCTGCTTTGAGTGAACGTTTAGTAAGTTACAAATTTATTTTAAAATAATATAACCTGCTAAGTTCCATCTAAAGTCACTGGAGCAGAGCTGTGAGAATACAAAGACTCTGGAAAAGTGGTCCAGAGTCTCCCAGATGTGTGGTTCAAACAGTTTGCTCATACCGTAGGGAAGAGTCTGATGGGATTCTTTGCTATTTCCTGCTGTCGGCCGCACCTTTACAATATTTTTATTTGCAGAGCTGCTGTGCTGGAAATGAGAAATGTAGCTGTGTTACACGGATGTCCTCTCAGGTTCTCTATGCTCAGCCACGTTTCTCTTCCTTTTCATTTGCCCCCCGCTCCGTTCAGGAGCACTCTCTTCCCTGACTGTGTCGGCAGCCCCGTCCCTCCCGTGCCGTTGCGGTCGCGGTGCTTTGCAGGCGTTGCTCGTTGTGCAGGGGTGTCTGTGCTGCGGCAGCAGGGAGCTGTGCTGGGGTTGTGTGTGCTCACGCTGTTAATCGCTGTCGTTCGCTGATGTGCAGCTCCCCCATTTTCCACGGCTGCGTCAACGAGCGCCTGGCCGATCGCACGCCCTCCCCCACTTTCTCCACGGCCGACTCCGACATCACTGAACTGGCAGATGAGCAGCAGGATGAGATGGAGGACTTTGATGATGAGGCCTTTGTGGATGACACTGGCTCCGACGCTGGGACCGAGGAGGGATCGGATCTCTTCAATGATGGGCGCGACCCGTTTTACGACCGATCCCCTTGGTTCATTTTAGTGGGAAGGTTGGTGAGGTTACTCTGAGAATGGCCAAAAGGGACCAGCTCTTGCTGCAGGCTGCAATGGCTCTGCCTTGTGCTACACAGATGGTCAGTCTAGCCAAAATATCCATGCCCGTGAATTGGAATTGCCAGAGAATGAGTGTAGTTCAACATTAAGTTCTAAATTGCTGTGTCTGGAGCCGTGAAGACCTGAGTAGTGACTGAGAAAATAACTCTTAGATATGACAGTGTCAGTAAATCTATCTCTAGATAACTGTCACAGCTTGGAATGAACGGGGGTTTGTATACAGAATTTAAACCTTTATAGAATTCCCTATTTAGCCATTGCAGGGTCATTAAGACAGAGCTGTGAGTGTTATTTTCTTCCATAGAAGAGAATCTGATTATGGTGGGAAGTGTTTCAGTCCAAACCCAGAAATGCATTTTTTTTGAAAATCAGTTTAACATCCGCTGCATATGAAAAGATGGCATGAGGAGAAAGAAGAATGATCCTTTCTGGATGAGGAAAAGAGTGTTCTCTGAGATGATTTGGCTTCTCAGATTGTGCTTGACTCTCTGTAGCCAGTATTACACAGTGAAAGGTCATCTACATTGAAATTCACTGTCTCTGTTTATCAGCCCTTTCCCCAGGCACTATGCTTGAATTCCTGAAACAGGTTTGCATGGAGTATTTTAGAATATTATTGAGCTTTCCAGAACAGAAGGAATTAGGGCATTACCAGACCTCAGTCTGTGGTGTAGACCCTTAAGGACAGCAAGTTACATTAAAGAAATGTAGTTCTTCACACTGTTTCTTCAGCAATAGTCCTGCTAGCATGTTTCTCATTACAAGAAACAGAAACATTTTTATTTAGTGACTTGGTTCTTCTCTCTGCTGCTTCCCTCTCCCCTGATGATGCTTTTGTGCTTCCTTGCTTACCCTGTAAGCCAACATCCTCATTAAGGTGCTTGCCACAGGCGTGGTACAAAAAAAGGCTCCATGGCCAGAAGGGAGGAACAAAGGAAGAGGGAGCAGAACTTGGCTTTATCCTTCTCTGTCAGTGTAAGCAGGAAAGACTTCAGGGTCAGGATGATGGGATCTTTATGCAGTTTGCTCAAATACAGGACACTTGTTTGCATAATTTATGAAAAGGAGAGATAGAGTTTGCTGGTCTTTATCAAGCTTTGAGTTCAGTGTAGTGTGTTTGTCTAACCTCAGGCATTGTCAGTAGTGAAACTTCCTTGATCCTATTTATTAAACAAAAATTACTAAAGTTGCAAGAAATTGTGTTAGTCCTCTATGGTCTCTGAGTCTGTGCCTGTACATGCAAAGCCTGGTAGGACGTTTTACAAACTCTGATTGTCTGGTTCAGGTGGGGAGGCAGTTTGGGAAAGCCACCACTCTTTGAGCCCAGGGTGCCCCGTGTGCCCCTGGAGCCTGGGAAAGAGCTGGGCTGTTCATGCTCACTCAGAGGGCTCGGGAAGCACAGCACGAGCTGAGCAGATAGAGAGTGCAGTGAAAACACTTGTGCTTCCTGGCAGGCACACAGACTGCAGCTTTGTGCACAGCTCTGGGCTGTCTGGGGACGCCGGCCTGCGTGGTGTGAGCTGCAGGTACGGAGCTGTGCTGTGCTGAGGGAGGAAACTTAGCTCCTGCTATGAGGATAGAGAGTGATTTCTCAGCTGCTGGTTTCTGTTGTTTCTGTTGCTCTGTTGTGCCCATTCTGTCAGCAGAGGCCGTGGGACTGCCCAGCACCACTGAGCAGGAACTCTTGTGGGTGCTGTCCTCCCGTGTGAGAGCTCTGCTTTTGAGCAGTGACCTACAGGCACCAGGGTGTCCCTCCACAGAGCTATTGTCTTCAGCACAAGGCAGTGTTCAGTTTGGAACAAAACCAGAATTCCTTATCACTCCCAACTGTGTACTTACTGGTTGATACATCACAGAATGAGAAGGACAAATAAAACAATTAGCATTTTTGGAGGGTTGTCAGCAATAACAAGTGCAGGTCATGAAAGGAGAGGAAGAAGAGAAGTGGAACATGTTGTTATCCAACTCCCTGGCCATCACAGTTCTTTTCTTTTCTCTCTCTGTGCTATGACTGTCTTTTATTTGTAACAAAGAAAAGAAAAAAGAGCTGGTCCCTTTAGCCATCTCTTCTGGCATGCTGGGTTTCTTCAAGGTTGACTCTGTTTCATGGTATGACAAATCAAGCATTTGCTTTGTTTTTAAGGGAGGTGGGAGAGGACTATGGGATATTTTATTTAAATCCTAATGTGTTTATTTTAAAAATATCTGCCATCATTTTGAGTTCTGTTGGTTTTGTTTTGGTTTTTTAAAAAATTGTGTTTGTTAATTTAATTTCTAGTTGTGTTGTGAGTATGCCATTTTACCTCACCAATCTTTCTGCTAATCCAGCCCCTCTTTCAGTCTGCTGGGCTAAGTGCAGGGGGACACTTGGGGGCTCTCTGGGGAGTGGGTGTCCTCACGGATGTGGGAAGAGGAGGAGGACAACCTTAAGATTTCATCCACTCCTAACTTGGCACTGTGTCATAACCCAGCTCTGCTTTGGTGCAGCACTTGTGCAGTTGCTCTCCACTCTACAGAAGAGATGCAGCATTTGCATCAGCAAACAGGAAGCTTTAGACTTTTTTGCATTATGTGGTTTTTTTGGTCTAAGTTAAAATTATTCCAGTGAACAAGGTGACTGGATGGAAGCAAATTGAGGGAGAAGAGAAATACATTTTTTTCCTTGGGATGGTGGCATGGTAGGGTTTAATCCAGCTGAATGCTTTGGCTGTCAGATTTTGAGCAGCACCTTCAGAACTTTTGCCCTGCAAATAAACATAAATTTTTAGTTTTCATGCAGGTGATGCTTTCCCTTTCCATTAGTTTGGCTTTGAAGGGAGAAGCCTTCTGCAACGCCTGACTCTTCAGTTAGTGAGGCTCCTGCTGTGCACATCAGTGCAGGACTCCTTGGCTTCTGCTCTGCTGGGAAATGTCTGTTCTCCCTGGCTTGAAATGTGCTTTTCAAGCTGGGGTGTTTTTGTGCTGAGCACAGAACTGTGTACCTTTTGGAACTCCATCCCTGATCCAGTCCAAGTGAACCATTCCAGTTCCAGGGACTTTTCCTGTGTGGTTGGATGCTAGTTCCTCAGATGTGCATCACCTGAAATCCCAAAGCTAAAAAGGAAAATGTTAGAGGGAAAAAATAAAATTTAACTTCTCATTTTGTTACTTGAAGTTTAGTCTCTTTTCCCTTCCAGTGCTTACCTCACTTTGAAGCAGACTGAAAAGGAATGAAATCCTAATCTTAGTGAAGTGTTATGTTGCAGTTGGTTTTTTCGTTGTTGTTGTTGTATGGTTTTCTTCATTTTTTTGTTTTGCTACTTTATAGCCATATTAATCATCCTCTATTGCATTTTGTCACCACTTTTTTTTTTTACTAGCGTTATTTTTGTGTCCTTGGTTCATGACTGACACCTGTTTGACTTCCTTGTCATTTCAAGAGTTCATTCATCCTTGGAAGGGGCACGTGAACCCAAGGAGCAACTTCCCTTTTGTCATGCAGGACTTTTCCCAGGAATGTTAAACAATAAAAGTTACAAATTACAGGAATTAATTATACATAATACTAAAGACTAATAAAAAGAACTGTAAGGAGGAAGTTACTTAAATGAATTACTGTTGTTTAGTATAATTTAATGTGCATAAATTTGTTAAAATTGCATAATTAGTCACTTTAAATTTACTGACTAGTAAAACTATTGGTTAAAGTGCTGTCCATGAGTACTCTTCTGAACTCTGAAACAGCTCATTTAGTAAATAAAACCTGCCATATTTTCCCCTTGTTGAGCTTATCAACTTTTAATGTCTTGCTCAGGCTAATCCCACTGAAGTGTGATGCTTTAAAAACTACTGCATTTCATTGCAGAAGCATAAAATAACTTAATAACTTTAGTCTGACTTTCAGTTAAAATCCATACAACTAAATTGGTTACCTTACTGCTCCAAAACAGACCCTGCTTGTATATAACTTAAAAGTTAGTGCAGGGCAGGATTGTCCCCTGTGGGGCCTAAATGCTGTTTTCCCTGCTGGAAACTGTGATTTCTAAGTGGTTGCTTAGAGTAGTGCTGTCATGTCTTATTTATGTTTTGTTTTTTCAAAGAAATAAATCCAATGCTCCTGAAGAGATTTACCTGTGAAGACTTCCAGTCTTCCACTATCTGTACCATCAGTGAATCTTCCAATTAACCTAAGTGATGACTTCTGGTTTATTGTGGGTTTTTGGTTATTCTGCATGCAGTGTTATCAAAGGAGTATAGGAGAGAGAAAACATTCAGTCCATCTGGTTTTTAAAGAGTGGTTTTATATGTTCAGTAAAAAATTGAGGCTTTGTGAGCACAGTAGATAAATTCCTTTTTAATTTATCATTTCCAACAACCTCATTCTTTATCATCAGTAGTTCCCTGGTGGTTTCTATCAGCTTGCTAACATCTCCATTCACACCTGCAGTGCCTCTCTGGTCACCTTCCATGCAGCCATCCTCTCTCTGTGTCTGTAACTCATTCCTGTGAGCCCTGGCTCCCTCTGAGCTCCCACTCAGAGCCTTTGCTGGCTGCACTGGGCCTGGCCAGAGCTCTGTGTGGGCAGGATGGACTCGGGATCTCCTGTGTGGGCAGGATGGACTCAGGATCTCCTGTGTGGGCAGGATGGCCCCGGGGTCTCCTGCAGGTCCAGGAGATGCTGTGTCTGAGATCTGGCTGCTCCAGAGCAAAGCTGCAGTGGGGTTTGGCACACTGTTCCTAATGCTGGCTGTTTCTCTCCTGTCCCCAGAGCATTCGTGTACCTGAGCAACCTGCTGTACCCAGTGCCCCTGATCCACAGGGCGGCCGTGGTCAGCGAGAAGGGCGAGGTGCGGGGCTTCCTGCGCGTGGCTGTGCAGGCCATAGCAGGTGAGACACCTCAGGGGCAGACACACCAAAGCCTCTCCTGACACTCAAACCTGAATAACCTGCGTGTTGCAAAGAGCACTTGCTCTCTGTTGGTATTGAAATTGCTTCATTTGTTGTTTCGCCATATGGGCTGAGCATGAGGAAGTCTTGAAATAATGCTAGAACAAAAGATTTTCAATTCGTGATGATGCTGTCCACTGAAGTTTATACCTGGCAACTAATGCAACTCTGCTTTTTAGGACAGTGGAAGATTTAACTACTGTCAGTAAGTCTGAAAACTAAAACTAAAGCAGAGCTTTTTCCTTCTGGCACCCAGTATAAACAGTGGAGAAGGGTTTGGTGTCCTGTATTAAAGTTAAACGTGCCCAGTTTTAGCTGTGCTCAAACTATCCCTTTAAATAATGCTCAGAAATGTGCTCCTCTGGGGTCTGGGGAGGGCACGTGAAGAAGTTCCTGAACTGATGGTTTTCAGCATGCTGTAGACAGAAATCAGCAGCATTTCCCCCTTCATTGCCTCACTAAAAACGTGGGGACTAGGAGCTGCTTTAACACAGTGTTTAATCAGCAGGAATTCTTTTCAGAAGAGAGGAGTAGATATCCGGGGTGGTAACAGCCTCACCCAGGGCTGAGCTGCCATTGTGTGTGTGCCAGGGTTTACTGCAGGTCACTGCTGCTGTTTCAGACTGCTCAGTGTGAGCTGGGCTGCTTGGCAGGGCCAGGCCTTAGCCTTGCTGCTGGGAGCACAGATCCTTCCCAGAATTTGCACTTTCCAGCAGTGGCCAGCTGCCAACAGTTCTTGCTTCTTTAGGTAGGGTAACCCTGGAAGCTTCACTCTCCATGGGAACATATAATGAAACTCAGACTCTGAAGATGTGTAAGAATCAGCCTGGCAGGGATTAAAACAAGTGAATTGAAATCTGGTTTAATGTGTACAAAAGTCTAGTTTGGTTTGGTCTCCTTAGCATTGACTGAATATTTCCAAATAAATATTTATCCATCCAAATGAACTGAAAACAGCATGGCTAACAGAAACTGAACTGGGGACATCCCTTAAAAAAGGGCCATGGCATTGTTTGATCCCTAAGCAAAGCACTGGAGCACATTCTGAATCTTGGGATTTCTGCTGTGACTATGCATTTACTGTGAAAAAACCCTGGCATTTAACCAGGCCCTGTTGTTGTTGCTCTCTGTGAAGAGGAGGAGGTGAAATGAGCAGACTGTATGGACAGATCCAACTTTCAGATTTCCAGCATGTCCTGGTGCAGCTTTGCTAGTGTTACTGCTGAGTTCATGGCTACAGAATTTTAGATGTTAGTTTACCTCAGTATAATAATCAGAAGTAAATAAATAATGAAAATTAGTTCTAAAGTTGGTTTGCATTCAAAATTCTCTAAAGTTAAGTATTTTCAGAATGAAGCCTGGGAGCTGTGTTGTTTTCCCACAGCCGAGTTCCTGGTGGAGGTTTCTGGCATGATCCTTTCCAGCACTTACTCCAGCTTGTAACTGGATGGCTCTTCTGCTTTCTGTTTTGGTTTCCATGGTAATGAGAATTATAGGGTCTCCCTTCTCCTCCCCATCGTTTATTTATCTATCTTCTTTTTTCCCTCTTTTTTTTTTAGCTGATGAAGAAGCCCCAGATTATGGGTCTGGTATTCGACAGTCTGGGACAGCTAAAATTTCATTTGACAATGAGTATTTTGATAAGGTAAGAATTCTTAAAATTGAGTTAGGTGTCTTTGAGTGTAGTAGCTTGTGCTTCTATAACAAAGAACATGTGTTGTAGGGAAAGAAGGGGATGGCAAGCTCAGAAAGTGCAGAAGTCTCTTACAAGGCACTGTATTTAATTTTCAGAGTGATTTTTCTTCAGTTGCGATGACTCGGTCTGGTCTGTCACTGGAGGAGTTAAGGATTGTGGAAGGGCAAGGACAGAATTCAGAGGTTACCACTCCTCCAGAGGAGATCAACAGAATGAATGAGCTGGGTAAGCAAGAAATACCTGGTGTCTGGAGAACTTGTGGGGAATCTGTGACACTTTCAGTCAGTCATGGAAAGGAGTTCTGAGTGTCCTTCGGGAATGTCATGGTCAGGGAGAGGTGTTACCAGTGGGTTGAACGTGGGAGATCCTGGTTGAGCATGAGAGATTCATTTGAAGAATAGGGCTGAAAAACTTACCAGATATTTGGATCTTTTGGTTATCAACAAATTATTTGGGTTTAAAAGGAAAAAAAAAAAAGTGATGGGACTAAACTGTCTCCTGAAGAACTATTTCAAGAAAAGAAAGGAGAAAAAAAAAGAAAAAAATTATTTCATGTGGGATTTCTTTTTCTCCCTAAGACTTGAAGTCAGCCACTTTGGATGGAAAGATGACTATGGAAGGATTCACTGAGGAAATTGGTGATCACCTGAAGCTGGGCAGTGTGTTTACCTTCCGTGTGACAGTGCTTCAGGCCAGTGGCATCCTGCCCGAATATGCAGACATTTTCTGCCAGTTCAAGTAAGAATTTGTCCATACTTGCATTAGGCAATTAATGGTATGAGAGAGAGAGCAAAGAGCAGTGGGCAGTGGAACTCTGAGAACTTTGCAGGTGGGTGGAGGTTTTGTACAGCAGAGAAAAACTCCTTGTCACTTACTGGAGTTCCTGATCCCCACTTTCTCTTAAGCAGATGTTAAGGATTAAAGTTGTGCAGAAAGAAATTAAAGTGGGCTCATAAGTTACTAGTTCATAGATATTTTAAGGTTTTAAGCTTTTTATGTGAAAAATTCAATGCTAGATTGTACATACACCCATTTGAATGAAAGCTGCATGACCCTGGAGGAAATCAGTGCTTGTCAAGTGAAAGTGGTCTTAGGCTTGGGTTCTTAAGAAAGAGAATGAAAAGGAGAAATAAAGACATAAAACAAGTACCACAGTTGTGGTCCCACAAGACTGTGGTATGCCTAGCTTTAGGCCATCACTCAACTGCTTCTAAAGTTCCAGCAGAATACATTTCTCTGAGGGTTTTAGGATTTCCTTTCAGGGTTGGATTCAGAGCACAGCAATCTTCATTAAACCATTCTGTGGTGGCTGATTTTTGGTTTATTTGTTTACAGCTTTTTACATCGACATGATGAAGCTTTCTCCACAGAACCTCTCAAAAACAATGGCAGAGGGACTCCCCTTGGGTTTTACCATGTTCAGAATGTAAGTAAAGCTTTCCATGAGCAGTAACTTCCTCTGTCTGCACTGGGAGTTGGGGGTGTCCTTCAAGGCAAGCAGAATTATTAGGAATAGACAGTACTAGGAGTGATCAGGTGAATGATGTAATCCCCATCACAAAACAAAACACAGAATGATTCTTTGTGGCAAATTTAACTCTTTTTTCACCTCTACTTCCTGCCATTGAATTCTGTGTTTCCTTTCCAGGGTGAAAACAGTCTAGAATTCAGGAAATAAAATATACATGTGAATAGCAGTGCTCATGATCTCAGATGAACTGGATATATCTATTTTTATGAACTGTGTAATGCTTTGGTTACATGCAGCCTCCTCTTCTCCTACTTGAAATGCCTGATACTGAGGCTTTCATTTTCTCCTTTCTTGGAGAGTAGAATTAATGCCTAAACCAGAAGGGAATGCAGTTGCTTTTACTGTGAGTGACACCAAGTGATATGAAAAATACAGACTCCTAAAAGAGATTTCCTTTTTTGAATGTCTCATTTTCTTTCCTTACTCCTGAAATAGATTGCTGTGGAAGTGACAGAATCGTTTGTGGAGTACATCAAAACAAAGCCTATTGTCTTTGAAGTCTTTGGACATTATCAGCAGCATCCTCTCCACCTGCAAGGACAGGATCTCAACAGGTATTGGTCACTAGCCTGGCACAAAGGCACTTGGGGATCATGCTCAGCTTGTGCAGTTGTACTCCTGAAATTGTGCACCACAGCCTCACAAGCAGAATCCCTGGTGGAGGTGAAAGTGCTGCCAGAGGCCTGTTCACCCAGTGCACTGACTCTGTCAAACATGGAAAGCTGGCTGTTCTGCCAGTCCACCCTAAACCCCCTGGGGACTGGAGCACTGCACTGGGAATACTGGGAACTTCAGCAGTGATCTGTGAGCTCTGGGAAAATGTCAGCAGTGCTCCTAGGGTTGGTTAAGCTACAACAGAAGAAGAGCATAGGTTAGTCTGAGAAGCGTGCTGAGCCCCCTTGTTTTCCTCACAGGGGATATTTACCTGTCTTCATGGAATTGTGAGGATATCTTTAGAAACAATCGTAGGTGTGTGTATACAAAGATGCACGTGTGTGCATTTGTATATATTTCTTATGTTTAACTGCCTCTGTATTGATAACTCTTCATTTCTCTGTAGCCCTCCACAGCCTTCTCGAAGATTCTTTCCTCCCCCTATGCCACTGTCAAAGCCAGGTGAGAACAGCTCTAATTCTGTACATCACAGGGCTGCTGCTGCAAATGGAGGTTGTAGCTCAGTATTCCTGAGGTGTCCATGGAGTGAGTGCTGCAGGGGGCACTGAATGTCTTTGCTGGCTCTCTGCCCTTTTTATGTTTTATTTCTTCTCAGCCTCCTCTGCAGGAAGTGATGCTTAGTTCATTAGGGGGTAGAATTCCATTCCTGAGGTATTGACCATATTCCATGAGATCTGGCTATGGCTGTTCCCATGCTTACTGTGCCCTTACTGACTGGAAATTTGCTTATTCATTAATTGCCTCATCTTTTTGCTCTCTCATGTTCTTGTTTAGTGAGTCTTGTTGAAATGATTCTTGGTTTTCTTTGCTTAATTGGAATAATGCATGCTGAACTCTTTTGTGATTTTTTTTTTCCACTTCACCTTTAATTTCCTCCTTCTCCCTCTTTCTCTCACCTGCACATTTCTACCATCCTTTCTCTCTGTGTGTTGCATTCCCTCTGCAGACCATGAAAGGAAGATTGAGTTGATTAGGTACCTTATGTCTGGCTATGTAAACGTGCACGTGCTGAACACGCTGTCCGAGCATGCCAACGTGCTGGCCTCCTCTGCCGTGGCTGCTTTCCAGGATGGAGCTGACCAGCTGCCTCCTTTCCTCTTTCTGCCTGTTCCCAGTTGTCAGAGTGAGCGGGCTCCTAAGAGAGATGGTTAGTAGCCAAACTCGGGCTGTGGTAGATGTAGAAGTAGTTCCAAAATGTGCTTCCAAATTCCTTTTTCCTTCATCATGTGGTAGCATTAGGAGTAGAAGCTGCCATGGTTGTGCTCATGGAAGGATGATGCTGTGCTTAAATTTAGGGCTCTTTTAGAGAGAACCACAGAGACAGTCTGTGGACTCCAGTGTGCTGGGGGTCACAGATTTTTGTGTGTCACTGCATCTGTTCCCTGGAACTTCCAGGACCTCTGATTTTTTCTGTGTTCTGCATAGAGTGGTACTGGGATGAGAGATGCATATGGAAACACAGGCAGGTATAGAGGAAACATTCTGCTGTGTTCTCTATAGGTTTCCTTTTCACTCATCTTCCTTTCCTGCCACTAACAGTGCCGTTCCTCACTTCCACTTCTATTCTGTTTTATTTAACTCAGATAAAAAGTCATGCTGATTAATAATTGTACCAGAGCAAATCTTTGAGAACATCTAGAATCAAGCTTTCATGTTTAGCTCCATGTGCCTTTCTGTTGTTTTTCTCTTCTGATGCTTTTGAGTTGCTCTGCTTAGCAGTAACCTTGAGTGACTTGTGTGTTTGATGTTCCTGTGGCTGGAGTGAGTTCATGTGCAGCTGCATGAGGTGATTGGGTGTAAGGAGAGTTACTCCCCTGAGTAAAGTGTGGGAAGGCAAATGATGAGCCTCAGGCTTGCTGCCTCCCAGGGTGGAGCTGTGCTGTGAAAAACTGATTCCTGTCAAATCTGTCCCTCTGAGGCAGCTGCTGTTTTACCCAGAAGAGAAACAGATCTCAAAAGAGAGCACCTAGGCACTCCTGTAAGGACCTGTTTAACTGGGGGCCCAGTGCATGGGGAATTAAGTCATGGTAGAAGCCAAAGGATACAGAGATGTAAAGGTGGGAGAACCTAAAGAATACCTGAGCAAGGGGGGATTGGGTCTTGAGAGGTAGAAGGGAAAATAATTATTTGGCTTAATAAAAGCAGTGAGGTTAGTATGTGAAAGGAAAAAAAATGGAAGATCAGAAAAATCTCAGAGTGTGCAGGAACAAAGCTTTTAAAATGTTCCCATTTACAGAAATGTAATGAGTGAACAGATAAGAGAAAGCATGTAAGGGCAGCTAAAAGGTGTGGTGTGTGAGGGAGTATTAAGTTATTTCTAGAATTTAAGCTGTCTCATTATTTTTTTAACATGGTTTATCCCCACATTTGAATGAAAGGAATTAGAGGGGATCTGGCTGGTTATACTCACTAATGCCAAGAGATAAGGAGCCCAGAAAAATACTTAGGCAGGATTAGGGCTCTGGAATAAGTCCTGTTCTGCCTTTTACATATACAACATCTTAACCAAGTGGTGCAGGGGGCTGGCAGCTTGTCACATGAAGAAGTGAAGACTGAAGTTTTAAGTTATATTCTTTTCCTCTTGTGTGGGGAAGGTGAAATGCACTTTATGGGTGAGTAATGCTGCAGATGAACAGACCTCAGCAATTCGAAATCACCAACTGTCAAGCCATAAAGCAACTGATGCACATTTGAGGAAACTTCTCTGTGGATCTAGAGGGACTGTATATTTTCCCAGGCTCTTTGGATGCACTATTGTTCCATTATTTAACTCCAAAATTTCTTTCTATTCTAGTAAACCTAGATTTAAAAAACATTTAGAGAAATAATGATTGTTGTAAGCAACATAATTTTCATGGTAAAAGCTGTGGTCTGCCTACATACACAGAATATGTAGGACCTCTGAAATGGCACATTTCTGTGAGTCCTGGGCAAGCTTTACTTGTTCAGTCTTTGTAAACCACTCTTTTTTTCTACTTCCTTTTTTTTTTTTTTTAAAGTGCCAGCTACAAAGCTGAATACTATGAGCAAGCCCAGCTTGGGCCAGAGTGTGAGCAAATACGACCTCCTGGTGTGGTTTGAGATCAGTGAACTGGAGCCAACGGGGGAGTAAGTCCTCTATTAATATTGTGATTGATATTGTGTCTCAAGAATGGTGGTTTATGAGATTTCTGGGTTTTCCCCCTTTGTTCTGTTCAGACCAGGCTGATGTTCAGCAGTCACCATGGTAGGGCCTGCCTGGTTTGTGGTGATGGGTGTCCAGTCTGCTGGCAGTATTGTCCCCATTAGAAGGGACTAAAGTGACAGAATGACTTTCTTTCACACTTGGAGGGGTCTGTCCATGGTGAAGTTCCAGGCACAGGCACCAGGAAGACTTCCCAGTGCAGGCCATGAGTTTGGATTCTTTGGGACCCTGGAGACTTCACTCCAGTCACATAGCAGCCTCTGTTCAGTGTTCATCTCTGCTACAAAGGTTTTCCCTGACAGGTCCTTGGGGGTTACATTGAGAAGTGAGTTGCACTGGAGGTACAGTGGGTGATATTCCATGATTCACTGATCTGTAATGGCAGAAGGAGCCTGTTTGGAGAGCAGGTAGACAGACACAGCCTTGTGTGTCAGCTGGCACAAGGAGAGGAAGCTGCTGTGCATTACATGTGTGGTTCCCTGTCCCACAGGTACATCCCTGCCATCGTGGATCACACCGCGGGCCTGCCCTGCCAGGGCACCTTTCTGCTGCACCAGGTATGATGGAGGCTGTGCACAGGAGTGTCCCCTGTGCAGGGAGGGAGGGCTGGCAGCTCCTCTCACACAGCCTGTGCTTGCTCTCTTGGCTCTGGGCTCTGAGGAGATTGCCCCCAGGATGTTGCTGCTCCTGTTCCATATCCCTGGGCATCCTGCTCATGGAAGAGGAAAGCCTTTCAAAAAGCAGGAACCTCTGGGACCAGATTTGTGCCTTCAGTGTTCTCCAGCATCTCTAAGGACACAGAAGGACCATGTGGACTCAAATTCCATTTGCTCTCCTCACTGCTTGTCGTTATGACACATAATCTATGAAGTGACTGTATCTCAGTGCATCTTAAATTCCTCTTACAATCAGTAATATTTTGTCTCTAGCTAGATTATAAAGATAATCCCAGTTTCATATGGTTTATAGGTTTAAAGTTATATTTTTCCTACTCTGTCTTTGTGGAGTGAGGAAGGGGAAGCATTCAATTTCTTTTACATATAAGAATATAACATCCCCTTGAAGTGAATTTTAGGGTCCTGAAACAAAGAGTTGCTTGTTCAGTTACAGATGATATGTAATGATATTATTTAAATCACTTCAATGATATTAATGATATTATTTAAATTACATTATTTATTTCACTTCTGCAGTACAAGTGCAAAATAGATGATATGTGTGTGTGAGCACTTCAGCAGTGTTTTGTTTGTGAACCCCCCAGGGAATCCAGAGGAGAATCACAGTCACCATCATCCATGAGAAGGGCAGTGAGCTGCACTGGAAAGATGTGCGAGAGCTCGTGGTTGGTGAGTGAATGGTTTTGTGTCTTGCTCTGTAAGGAAGAAAAACTATTACTGGTAATTTCTCTTTGTATCAGATTCTGTCATTTTTATGAGCACCACCTGTAGGAGGAGAGTTTTGAAATATATCCACAGGAAGAACTTTAAGTTTTGCAACTTCCATTTACAGCTACTTGTTATTCATGTAGTCTGAAACTGTATTTGGGAAAATAAATTCCTTCTGTGTTGCAGTTTGAATTTTAATTGATTCCTCCTCCTCCTCCTTCCCCTTTTAGGGCGTATAAGAAACAAAGCAGAGGTAGATGAAGCTGCTGTGGATGCCATTCTGTCTTTGAATATTATCTCTGCAAAATACCTGAAGTCCTCTCACAGCTCCAACAGGTGAGTGAAGTGAGCCCTCCAGCAGGAATCAGAAATTTGTTTGACCTCTGAGGTGTTGGCAGGATGTTTGGAATGCTGGGAATGTGGCTAATTATTAAATGTAGAATTCCATGAGCACAGAACACACAGGTAGACAATGAACATCACTGTAAAATCTTGCTAATGCTGAAATCTGTTGATCTGTGGGAAGGGTTTGCTGACAGTGCATCTGAATTACTTTCCATGTGTATGGACCACAAAGGGCAGGTGGAAGGGAACAGCTTAAGGGGGCCTCAGGATTTAACCCAAAACTTCTAAACTGACATCAAGGTTTGGTGCTAGAACACAGCATGGAAGTTCAGGGAGAGTTTTGGGAGGTACACCTGCAGATGTGTACGTAGGGGTTTGTGGCTCTGTGCCCCTCATTGCTCTGAGGCTCAGACTCACATTGTTCTGCAGTGTCTGCAGCCAAGTGCAGCAAGGCAGAGGGGGCACTGGGCTCAGCCTCTCCCTGCTCTGACAGCAGTCACTTGGCTTCTCCCTGGCTCTGCTCAGCTGGTGCAAAGGAGGAATATCCCTGGAGTGGGGCTCTGAGTGGCTTTTTCCAGAGGGGAGGAAGGTTTGAGTCCATCTCTGCTGAATGCTGGAGGTGGGATCCTTCCAAGCACTGGAATTCTTCCCTCTGTGTTAGGGGCCTGGAACACCTGTGGCATTAAAGTGGATTTGGAATGCTGCTCCTGCCTGTGGGCTCTCTGCCACCTGGTGTCTGTAAAGGCAGGCAGGGACTGGGGCATTGGCAGTTCTTCATTGCCTTCCACTGAGAAGTGGGTATTTTAGTGTGTTTGAATTAATGGATCAATATAACTGGAAAACAGGGAGACTGTTGCTGGATTCCTCCCTCATGCTATTGGATTTGCAGTTGGAAAGCCCAGTGCTTTCTGTTTTGTTTCAATAAATTCCTCTATATCTCTGTAGTTTTCTGTAAGATGGGCAGCTTGGGTGAAGGGTGAGTGGGATGAAGCTGTTGGCCATCTCATCCCAAAATGCCAAGGTTTACTTGTGGGATGAGTGCATGGCAGCGTGGTGGAAGGAATTGAGGCCCTGGTAAGGGATATGTCTTAATGTTTGTTCATTGTCTGCAGACTTGTTTGCTGCTTTCTGTGGGGTTTTTTCACTTTGTTTTGTTTTAGTCCACTTGTTCTGTTCCTCTCAGCTGTTGCTTTTCTGTTCTGCTTTTGGCTGCACTAACTGAAGCTCTTTCTATGTTTTTACAGGCTCTTTCTTGATAAGGATATGCCTAGGTATTTTCTGTTTGCTTCCTTTGGACATAAAGATTCTTGAAAATAGAATGCTTTATGTCCCATTTGTATTGCTGCCACTTCCCTCAGCTTTTACTGAATTCTGTTAGCACACCTCTTAGCGCTTCCAGAAGTCTTCCTCTTCCCCTTCCTCTTCCCCTTCCTCTTCCTCCTCCTCCTCTGTGCCAGAGGGTTATTCAGGTGCAGTTCACTGGGGGACTTGTGAAGGTGAACTTCCCTTCACATGTGAGAGTAGGAGAATTTCCTTTGTGCAGCCTTTCTGAATCTCTTGATGTGCCATCAGATATAGACCCTTTTGTATTCCTTGCTATTTTCTTCCCTTGTTCTGTATCAAAGAACTAAATTTGGAATTTCTCAGTGTCTCTGACTCTGCAACGCTGCTTGTTTGAAGGACCAAGCCAAGGACTGAACATGAGGCTGCTTGAATTGCTCTGATCAAATAGCTTGAAAAAATTGCTTGCTGTCACAACTAAGTCATGATGAAAGTTTAAAACATAAGGACTCAACTCAGATGTGTAAAGGCTTAGAAGACAACTGTGCTCTTTGCCTGATCTAACTAAAATGAGGATTATTACTTTTCAGTGCTTCACAGTGTTTTTGAAGCTACCAAATACTTGCCCTTTAGATTATGTTTCTCTGTATTTTTAATAGAAACAACATATTTAGAAGTAGTTTCCTAAATATGGTTCTTCAAATGCAATCTAGCAGTGTTCTCACTTGACTGCAGTTCCTGGTGCCTTTATGTATTAACTTGGAATTGTGTCATTGGTGTCAGAGAAAGGGAATTCTTGAGACCTCTACTTGAGGTCGAGCTCTTTGTTTCTGGCATGTCTGCTTTTAGGCTGTTTCATGTTTCTTTTTGTTTTGCTTTGTATTTTCTTGTTTGTTTCTTCTACCCCCACCCTGCTGTTTGTCCTTTGTCTTTAGTTTCATCTTCCGTTTTTCTGAGTTTGGAATTAGTACAAAAACTCCTCAGATACATAACTTACTTTAAAAAATAATGCACATGAAGCACTTTCTTGTTTTTAGTACTACATCATTTGGACTCAAAATGGGATAAAAATAGCAAGGGGATTTGGGAGGGAAATGATGTAGAGGTGATGGAGAATGAATCCCTTCTGTTTCTGTCACCAGTGTGGAAAGGTGTGCTGAGTTCCTGAACAGGGGCATAGGTTTTTTTCCAAAGGCACCTTCCTGCCTGGTCGCTGCCTGTGGGAAAGGAGGAAGCTCATTTCCCCAAGCCCCTGTGAGAGAGGGGAGAGTGTAACAATGCCTTGGATGTGGTGGCTGAGCTGTGCTCTGTGTGGTGCTGTCTCTCACTTTTTGCTTGAACCTTCTGCATTGCTGGGGTAGACCTGGGGCAGCTTTCAGCTCCTCTCTTTCCTTGTCCCAGACGAAGAAACGTCGTACAGAAGTCCTAAAATACGGTGTAGAAAGAATCTTCCCATGCTCTTTTAAGATCCAGCTGGGCTGAATTACAGCAGTAGAAATTAATTTTCTCTGTTTAGAAACAACTGTTCAGTGCTGACTTCCCTGTAGAGCTATGACAGCTTTTGTTTTCTGCATTCCCTCTTTTCTCTTTTAGATGAGTCTTCTCCATAACAGGCAGTGGTCTTTATGCCACACTGTTTGAGGTAGAAGTAAATGATCCTGGAAATAAAGAGAAGGTTTTTGCTTCAAGTATTTTTATCCACATCACTGGAGGATGATGTCAGGAAAAGATGCTTTACACTGAGTGATGAGGGGGCTGCAGAAGAGTGCTTACTGTTGACCTTCTACTGTCCTTCTTTGCAGGACTTTCTACCGGTTCGAGGCCGTTTGGGATAGTTCCTTGCACAACTCCCTCCTCCTCAATCGAGTGACACCGTATGGAGAGAAGATCTACATGACCCTTTCTGCCTACCTGGAGGTGAGACACCAGTGCCTTCCTGCTGGCTGTAAACTGTTTGAGACAGGACACAGAGTGTACCCAAGAGAAATGGATTCAAAAGTGATTTGAATCCTGAAGCCAGTAAGAGTATTTATTCATTTCCTGAGAACAGGGTGGAAACAATGGACTCAAAGTTAACATCTTGATGTCAAGGTCTTGCAACACAAGAGATACTGGTGCTCTTACCTTTTGTCTTACCTGTTTTATCTATCTTTGTATCTGAACATCCACTGGAATCAGTGAACATTGCTGTGTGAGTACTGGAGTTACAAACAGGGGCTTAGCTCTTGGCTTGTGTGCAAGACACTGTTGTTTTGTGTAGTAAAATAATTTCATGGGATGCATCAAGAAATTTGGCAGTTCTCTTTCTGAGTTACACATATGAAAACCCTTCAGCAAAGACCCAAACAAGAACAAATTTCAAAAGCTGTCCCAGTAAGGGCAGCAGTGTAACCTGGCACAGTTGGCTGCAGCCTTTCATTCATTGCTGGTGTTCCTCTCAGCTCGACCACTGCATCCAGCCTGCTGTGATCACAAAGGATGTCTGCATGGTGTTCTACTCCCGGGACGCCAAGATCTCGCCGCCGCGCTCCCTGCGCAGCCTCTTTGGCAGCGGCTACTCCAAGTCCCCAGACTCGTAAGTGCCCTTAAGTTTTGCCATTGACCTTTTCTGTCACTATTTGTGTTTCCTCTCAGAGGATGTCGTTTAGTTTTCTTAATTTTTTTCCTTGAAACTTCAGCTACTCATAGGTTTTCCAGTCTGGTTTTGAATGTTCTTTCTCGCGTTTATTTCGGTGGAACTCTGATGGCTTCTCTCTTTACTGGCCTCTTTTCCATACTGACAGAGTTGGGAAGAGGGATGCATTTTTCAAGCTTGCACTTAGATGACTTTGGTCCTGACCTGGAATTTACTGCAGCACGTGCTCTTTGAGTCCAGTGCAGGGTGGGGGGGGAACATGGGGGAAATGCCTTTTTTTGGGATCTTGCAGTTCTGACTGTTTTGTGCAAGAGTAGTGTTGAAATCTAGCTCTAACTAACAACTATACTTAAAATTCTGCTTTGGAACCTCTGAGCTAAAGCTGAAGCACTTCATTTCTGAAGATAATAAATAGTGTGTTTTTGTTTCTTCTGCTTTCCTGTGAACAGCAATCGAGTAACTGGGATCTATGAACTGAGTTTATGCAAAATGTCAGACACAGGAAGTCCAGGTAAGCAGTGGCTGGGTGTTCCAGTGATAAATATGAAATACTGTGGAAAATTTCTCAGGCAGAATGGAGTAAACGTTTCTGTCCTGATCAGAAGCAGTTCCTGTGTTTCACAGGAGCAATGGAATTTTGCTATTCCACAAAACACTCACTCAGGCTTTTACTTTAGACTCAGCTCTGTGTTTACCATTGGTGAACAAGGATTCACTGGAAACTTTGTGTTTTCTGACATGGGTAACTCAGGACACTGAGCACATGAACCTGAGTCTTAGAGCATAATCCATGGCTCATGACTAACAGCTGAGACTGTGTTTTGCAGCAGTGGAGCTTTTTCTTGTCTTTTGAAGATGCTGCTGATTTCTGATGCCAACTTCACCTCTTGGAAGGAATGTAGTTCATGGTGTATCTGTGTATTTTTCTTCTAAGATGTAGAAACTGAAGTCCTTGAGTTTAATTAGACTGAAGAGGAGTTTGCATTATATCTTGGTCAATAGAAAATATCTGAACAAAATAAGAAAGCTGGACTAAATCAAATATCTTTGGTTGTGTATTTGTAGGTAGTGAAATCTTTGTGTTGTGTATTTCCAGCCAAACAGCGGTACTGGTTCTTTGCAAATTGCTGATTATTTCTCAGTAACACCTCTCTGGCTATGGTTTTAACACATCTTGTGTTGTTTTTTACTGCTCAGGAATGCAGAGGAGGAGGAGGAAAGTCCTGGATACTTCTGTGGCATATGTGAGAGGAGAAGAGAACCTGGCAGGTTGGAGGCCCAGGGGTGACAGCCTCATTCTAGAGCATCAGTGGGAACTGGAGAAACTGGAACTGCTGCATGAGGTGGGTAAAGAGATGGAAGTCAAGATTTAAATCAGTTCTGGCAGAGAAGACACACAGTGTGTGGCTGGCTGCTGAGTGGATTCAGCTCAGAATCTCAGTGTATTCAACAAAGGCAAATTCAGTTTTCAGTGCCACTGTAAACTCCCTTCCCTGGGGAGAGTTACTGGTATGAATAGCCAAGGATTCCTGAGAGTCTGGTGTGTGTAAAATCGGCACCTTCCTGGAGCGGACGACACTGATTTCCTTTCTTACTAGGTGGAAAAAACCCGACATTTTCTTCTGCTTCGTGAGAAGCTTGGTGACAGCATCCCCAAGTCCCTGAGTGACTCGTTGTCTCCCAGCCTGAGCAGTGGAACCCTCAGCACCTCCACCAGCATCTCCTCCCAGATTTCAACCACGACCTTCGAGAGCGCGGTGACGCCCAGCGAGAGCAGCGGCTACGACTCCGCGGACATCGAGAGCCTGGTGGACCGGGAGAAGGAGCTGGCCACCAAGGTATGGCCCAGGGCAGCCACCACGGTATGGCCCAGGGCAGCCACCAAGGTATGGCCCAGGGCAGCCACCAAGGTATGGCCCAGGGCAGCCACCAAGGTATGGCCCAGGGCAGCCATCCTGCGGGCAGCTGGGTGCCACAGGGGATTATAGGTCAGTCACGAGCTGCTCAGGTAGCTGGGGAATAGCCAGTAGTGTGAGAGTTTCACTTTAACATCCTGGTTAGTGAAACAAGCCACTCTCGCTGGCCAGTGCTGCTGGGGAGGTTTGGCTGTGGCTGTGTCTCATTGCCCTGTGTCAGTGGTTCTATAAAAACTTCCTAATTTTAGCAAGTGAAGTGATTATTACCCTCTTCTGTGATTTTTCATAGCAGTTTAGAATTTGTTTTTTCTTTCATGACCTGCCAAGTGTGTCTTGGCAAATCACCTCTTCTGTTCAAATTTCTCTGAAAATCTAAATCTAAAGTTCTTCTCTGTGTCTCATTTGTTTCCCCTCACGTACCCCCTTTAGTGTCTGCAGCTTCTTACTCATACCTTCAATCGGGAATTCAACCAGGTGTACAACAGCATCAGCGACTGTAAGGTAAATATTTCATTATAATGCACTCTATTTGTAGTACAATGGCAGCATGTTTGTGAGTCATGGAATCTGCTGATACTATGAGAAGATAAACCACTTTATATTAATTTATAATTTTTTATTTTCAATCCACTGGAAGCATTTGGCTATTCAGCATTAGGTTCCAAAGGCCATGGCAGGAATTGCAATGGTGTGGACTTGTACTGTAGTACAGTACCCAGTTTATTAGCAGACTCTTACTGTCTTTCCCTACATACACTTTTCCTATGTAAAAGGATAAATTTACTCTTAAAAATTCTGCCTGTAGGCAAAGGGAATACCAAGTTTCAAACTGGGTGATGTTTATCCCCTGAAGAAGTCAGAGTGTGAATAATCAAAGTGTAGGGCATTGATAACAACAAGCTGTGTCCCCATAAATGCTGCTGTATTTCTGCCCCAGATGGGTTTGTGGTGGTTTGTGTAAAATCTGCCTACTGAGAAGGGGAATGGCTGATGAAGAAGCCCTTCTGTTCTGTGAGCCAGGAGTGAACATCAGCTCCTGTGACGTTTTCTTGCAGCTCTCGGACATTTCCCCGCTTGGGCGGGACCCGTCCGTGTCCAGTTTCAGCAGTGCCACCCTCACCCCTTCATCCACCTGCCCTTCCCTGGTGGACTCCAGGTGCAACTCAGTTGATCAGAAGTAAGTGTAATGTATTAAAAGGAAACACCACTTTTCAGTGCTTCACAGATCTCTTTGCTGTTTTCTGATTTGTTTTTCCTCTTCCTCTTCCCTATTCCAGATATTTCTCTTGCAGCCCCCTTGCCTTACTTCTCCAGTCACTCTGCACAGTTCTTTGTCCCCATTTTGTTCTTTTGAAGTGTTTTTTTTCCGCTTGTGTTGGGGGAACAGTCAGATGCTTGTCATTCCAGTGGCCAGTGCATCTACAGTGTGCACAGTCCACAAGTTTTTTCAGAAGTCTGTTGAAAAGGTCTACTAATAACAACCCAGAATAAACCAGTTTGGCCATTAATCTGTGTTTATCTTTCTCAGCTGTATCTGTACAAGGTATTTTTGATGAAATTGGTAATAACTATGTAGGGAAAGACAATTTGTACCTTCTCAGTTCAGCATCCCTGAGGGAGGAGTGCTGAGGAAACAGCATTTTACATCAAGCAGTAGTAGGAAGTATGTCTGTGTTGTGACTATGTTTAGCAGGAGAAAAAATGTTGAAGTAGTGGGGAAGCAACTTACTAGTGGTTTTTATTCCACAGATATCAAGGGAAAATGCTATTCAGTGTTGTACAAAAGGATCCCAATCTCATACAATAAATCTGGGCTGGAGGATGGAACTTAAGGCTGGCCTGAAGATGCAGTTTAAATTCCATTGTCACATTCAGATCCTTTGTTGTGATTTAATTTTTTTTCTCTACTTTTTTTAAAGGACACCAGAAGCAAACTCTCGTGCCTCCAGTCCCTGTCATGAGGTGGAGCAGTTCCAGATAATTCCTGCAGTAGAAACTTCCTACCTTGCCAGAGCTGGAAAGAACGAGTTCCTAAACCTGGTTCCTGATATTGAGGAAATCAGACCAGGGTAAGTTTTTTATTGTTGTGTGATTGTGGCTTCCCAAGAACTGTCACAGGGGCTTTCTGAGATTCTCAGATTCTGTGCCCCTTTTGAAGAAGGAAAATGAACAGGTGATGGCAGAGCTGCAGAGTCCTCTGTGATGGACTGGGGAAGACTGTCAGACTTTTGCATAGCTGTTGAGGACACCATTCAGCTTCTTTTAGAAGAACTTTTTCAGAATGCTGTTGCAGACAAAACATATTAAGGACCAAGTGTCTTACACAGTGTTTTGCAGTTAACAGGAATACTCAGGGAAAATCTGTTTTTGACGTGGGTTTGTTTTTTCCAGCTCTGTGGTGTCAAAGAAAGGATACCTCCACTTCAAGGAGCCACTCTCCAGCTCCTGGGCCAAGCACTTCGTGGTGGTTCGCCGTCCCTATGTTTTTATTTACAACAGTGACAAAGATCCTGTAGAAAGAGGACTCATAAACTTATCCACAGCTCAGGTGGAATACAGCGAGGATCAGCAGGCCATGGTGAAGGTCAGTCTGAGAGCTGTTGTTTATTTACCCATAAAGCAAGAACATTGCAAGTAGCAGTGCATCTGTACCATCAGGTGTGTCATCTCTGGTGGGAGCAAAATGGATCTGAGTCGTGGAGACACTGAGGATCCTGCCCACAAAGTGCCCACTTTGTTCAGGGTTTCTTATGGTTTTGGACAAGTTGTACAGAGTGACCCTGGCTGCTGTCACACATCAGATTAGCTTTTAGCAGCATGGGCACCATCACCCTGCATGTTGGGTTTTTGCAGCTTCCTTTGTAAGTTTTTTTGGGCTTGTGGGTTTTGTTTGTTTAAAAACAAAACCCCACAAAACAACACATACAAACAACATACAAAGATCCTGCAAGGAATCAAATGAACTCTACTGGTCCATCTCTTAAAGCCCACACTCAGCAGTTAAGACTCTCTTTTGTAGAAGATAATGAGTAATAATACCCAGGAAATCAGCAGTGAGACATCAGTGAAGGAGGGATGTGACAGAGCAGATCCTCTCAGAGAGGAGATGTGCATCAGCCCTGTGTTGTAGACTCTGTGTTTAGATTGTCCTTGGTGTTGCAGACACCCAACACGTTTGGCGTGTGCACGAAGCACCGCGGGGTCCTGCTGCAGGCCATCAATGACAAGGACATGAACGACTGGCTGTACGCCTTCAATCCGCTCCTGGCCGGCACGATCCGGTAAGAGGCAGCCCGGGGCTGCAGAGGGACGTGCTCAAACCCAGAGCCAGGTGGTTGGTCACAGATTCTGGTTTTGCTCTCAGGAATTGGACAAGATGTGGGAACTGGAGCAGGGAGGAGAGCAGACAGAAAAACCCCCAGAACAATCAGAAAACAAACCAGCCCTGTATTTGAGGAACTGCAGGGGCTGTTCTTTTGGCTTGTGATGTTCTGAACAGCCATGTCCAGTTTGAACATGTGTGGGATGCTGTGTGTGGAAACCACAAGATGGTTTCCTTGTATTGCCTTTTACAAATTTATAAAGTTTCTTACTTCCTCTGTGCTGGACTACCTTTTTAGGCTCTTGATTATGAGCTACAGCAGAAATTACATTCCCTTTTATAACTCTTCTGGCAGCCTCTCCATTATCACAGACAGCCCCTGCTTGCTGGACACATCTTACTGCACTGCAGTAGCTCTTCCTTTCAACAAAAAAACCCCAAACCTAAAAAGCAAAGCTGTTACCATACAGCATCAAATAATTTCTGAACAGTGAAGCCCTTAAATGATTCCTTCTCCCATTAAAGAAGCAGAGAAGTGAGATTTCTTTCTCATTACAGCCCTGGATACATTCTACTTTCTTAACATACGGAGTAAACTAGGACTGTACCAAAGAATTAAAAAAAAAAAGGTGGATGAACTTTGGGGAGGGAGGAAAACTGAACTTTCATAATTGACCAGCTACTTTTTCCCCTTTGTTCTTGTGCAGGTCAAAGCTGGCTCGGAGGCGCACGGGCCAGATGAAGTTCTGAGTCCATGAAATGTTCTCACTGTCCTCCCCACTCACCTCCCCACTGATAGTGTTACCTCTCATTTTCTCTTCGTGATTCTTGACGGTTTCTCTTGTATGTAATCCTGTGGCTTAACATCCCCCCCTTCCCCACTCCTTCAGCACATTTTCTAGGTATTCCAACCCTACCTTGTTTCTTTTCACCTGTACCTGAATTGTACTAGTAGCATGTGGCCAAACAAAAAGAGAAAGAAAAAAAAAATCAAAAAAAGCGAGTGAATATGCACGACTCTAAAAAGAAAAAAAAAATTTCCTATAACAATTGTTTTCCCATTTCAACTGACCTTTTGGTGTCTGTCCCACTGTCCACTGTCTGTCTGGACTGCTACAGGGTTTTCATTCAATTTGTGACTTGGCAGTGGTCATTGGTTCCCTCAGGGCAAAGTTCCAACGCCAGGGAAAGATAAATTGTGTAATGGAGACGTTACCCAGCCAGGAACTGCAATAGCTCCTCAGGCTTTCTGGATCCAGCCTCGAAGTTAAACTCTGCTGAAAGCTGACATTGGACAAATCTATCTGGACAGACTGGATTTTGGACTTTGTGCAAGTTTCTGAGTTTCCAGGGTCCAGCAGGCTAAGGCATGAGCTGGGAAAAGTTAGGGAACAAACCAGGAGGGGCTGGCAGAACAATCTGCCTTTAAACTCCTGCTGTGGGGGTTGCAGGTGAACAGTGCTTGGGTTTAACTCTTTCCCAGAAGAGTTTCCATCCACATGCACTCCTCAGCCTCTGAACTGGGCTGAGCAGACTGTGCTGGCATGAGGGGAAATAGACCACAGACTGAAATGTGAGAGAAAATCCCAAGAATTTCAGATGCTCAAGCCAGGTATTTGACAGATGGGGAGTGTTAAATGGAAATGAAGGTGCAGTTGGTCCCTGGATCACCATGGAGGGCAGATCCCCTCTTCCTGCTGTTAGTCCTGACTTCATGTTCTGCAGGAACAGTTCTCACCTCCCTTGGCTGTGTCAGGGTAGCAGCTGTGCAGCACTGATCCCAAGAGCCTGTTTGTGCATCCCTGACCTGCAATGCTCCCGTGCCACCCCAGCTGTCCCTGGCAGCACCCAGGGTCTGTGGAACACTTCCCGGGCCCAGCACCTGCAGTGTTCTCCAGGGAGCTGCAGGGCACTTTCAATTCCTTTTGAAACAACTGCTGAGTGTCTCCTCATTTCCCTGCTGCAATTCTCATCAGCTAAACCCCACTGCATTCAGTTAACCCTTCTGGAGAACAGAGCAAGTGGATCTGGTCCTGGTCAGTGGAATGTCATGATTGGCTTCGTGGACATCAGCTGGGTGGTGTCAGTTCTTGACCTGCAGTGTAAGTTCTTGTGGCCAAAGCTTTGGTCCTTGCCCCAGGAAAGAAGAGCAGAATGAATTTCCTTTGGGGGAAGTGAACTCCTGTCTCTCAGTCAGGTGTTGGGGGTGTTGTGTGCTCTTTCCTGCTGTGTTATCCTTCCTTGCTGCACCCAGGGCACTGATGGGGCTGGCTCTGGTCCTGGGCAGTGTAAAGGGATTTCTCCTGGAGCCCCAGCCTCGCCAGGGACAGGTGAAAGGCTTTGTCCCTCTCCTGCAGTGGCACAGCAGGCTCATTTGGGGGCAGGCCACGGGACTGGAATCTGCTGAGGAAGGGCTTTGCTTTGTGGGTTCGTGTTCAGAGCAGGGCAGTGCAGTGAGAACTCCTAGCAGGAGGAGGGCAAAGGAGCAGGGAGATGGAGGCTGACCATACCTTCACATATCTCGAGGTAGTTCTCAGCAGCTCACATGCTCATGCTGTCTCTGGTCCTCAGATTTATTTCAGAACTGGAAGCCAGAGTGAGGGAGCATCCTGGGGACCCAGGAACATCATAGTGACAGGGTTTGGGTTTTTTTTTTTCCTTCTGTTTTTGTCTTGTTTAACTGTGTGTGACTCTTGATACAGTGGTGATATTCCTTTGTTATGCAATGATGATAAAGCACTTCCAGTGTGTGGATAAAACTGCTTGTCCTGCAGGAGGGCTCCTCACACTGCAGCTAAGCTGATCTCAAGAATTAGGTTAATTCTAAGCATTAAGTTATTGCTGCCATCACCACTGTTCATAATGACAGTGGAACCTGTTTGAGGAGGCAGAGTGATTGAGGTGGTGGAAGGTTGTGACACACTGAGAGCATTTTAACTTTTATCTGTTTCTTTTTTTTTAACTAGAAGAAAACTAGTTTTCTAAGTCTTTGCTTTGGATAAGCCAGAGAATGAACCAAGTGGTTATAGGCATTGCACAGAATCATGATTAAGAGATCTTCCTTTAAAAGCAGGAAGAGACAGATGCTTATTTTATAGAGAGCTTGAAGTGTTGCATAAATGTCACTCTTCTATCTTAAAACTCCAAGCAAATTCTGGAGACTTGAGGTCTGAGTGGATAGTGGATCATGAGCACAGCAAAAGTCTGGTTTTAAGCACCAGCATCTCTTGAAGCTGCATAATCTGTAACAAACTGGGTCCTTGTTGTGTGGAGTTCAAATGGGCATTTCTGTTTTCAGGTCTGACATAAAGGCAGACAAAGTTCTTCTGCAATTACTGAAGCCTGCTATGAGACATTTGGGTTTCCCTACTTAAAACTGGACTGAGACCAGCCCAAGTTTTCTTTAAAGAGATAACAAACCAAACAAATAAACAAATATAAAAAGTGAATTTCCATTCATTTCAAAGCTTAGCCCAACATGTTAGAAATTTCTTTTTGGAAGCAGAATGAGGAAGGAAAAATATGCTAAGTTGCCTTCTGCTGACACTCCAGAGGCCGTTCTTGGTTACCTGCTGTGTGTGTGAGTCCAGAGTCAGCCAGCTCTGGGGCTCAGCCTCTCCAGGTGAGACAGCCTGCTGTGGGCCTGCCAGCCCGCGGGGACACGCAGCAGCAGGGAGCTTGGTGGCATTCCCTGGAGGAGCGGGGCAGACTGGGCTGTGTTTGGGATTTTATGCTCCTCGCCAAAAGGAAGGAGAAAACTGTCCTTTTTGTACATTGGAAATCATGTTGGATCCTCCTGGGCATTGTAAAATGAAGCTAAACCTCCTATGCTGTGATTTAGAAATGCACTTGAAGTACCTTTTTAAAGAGGATTCTGTATTCTGGGAATACAGAGGAGAAGGGAGTACTGTGTCCAGAGAGTGTGATTTCCAGACTGCCAGGAAAAGGTTTTTGTGTCAATGTCTAATAGTCCTTCTTACTGATTAATGGTATTTCAAAGCAAAGACTTTACTTTTTGCTGCTTGTTATCTAATTTACAGGGATTTAATTTTATGTAATGTATTGTATATTTATACATCTGTAATTAATTGCACATTAGATAAGAAAGAGGATTAGCTTCGGTCTAACAGCCACTGGTACTAAACTGCCTGTGCACGTGGGTCTGCCTGGACTCCTGCCCAGCAGAGCTGGTGCTGTGCTGGGTGTTGTGCTGAGGATGCAGCTCTGACCTGCTGGAGGAAGGCTCCTGCTGCTGTCCCCGCAGCGGCTCCGAGCGCGCGTGGTCTCTCCGTGTAGTCACTGACCCAGTCTGTGCTCTGGCTGTAGTGTCTGTAGCAGGATCTCTTAACTTCGTGCTTCCTTGTTTCAAAACATCAGCTGCTCAAGAGCAGGACTGACTTTTGTTCAGAAGGCCATTTATGTGTTCCGTGTATTTGAAGTCAAAACTAGTCCAACACTAAGCAGATGGTTGTGTCCAATGTCACTGGGAACAGGACTCAAACTGCTGGGGTCAGCTGTGTATTCAGAAAACTGGTGTGGAGCTCCTGAGTGTTCAGTTCTTGATGTTGCCAGGGGAAGGGGCTGCCCTGAGCAGGGCTGAATTCACCTCCTGCTTGCCTGGGAACCAGGGACTGCAAGCAGAGGGAGTCTTGCACGATCAGCACTTGCCGGGATCAGGTCTGAGTTTCCCACTTTGCTTGTTCATATTTCATGTGCAGTTGGTCATGGCTCCCGAATTTGGACATCAGACATCCCTTGGAATTGCGGTCCCCACGTCCCTGTTAATCTCTGTACACAAGGTACACAAGGTAAATGCTGTATAAGTGGCCTTCTTGAACAAATCTCTTTGCAAACTGACTTCATCCCAGCGAAGGAGTGTATCAGCAACACTGTACATTAATTTCAGGTTTTCATTTTCTTATTTTATTTTGTAAATATATCCGATATTTGGAGCTTGAGTATACAAAATGTAAATATAGTTCATGTATTTGTACTAATTCTGATCCATTTGCTGTATAGCCTTAGGTGTGCAATGCAGATATCTAACTGTGTATGGTAACCTTGCACCACTGAATTGTTAGTGAACGAGGTGAAACAATAAAGGTACAACCAGTGCATTAGCAGACAGAATGTGTGCTCTCTCATTATGATTTAATTGCTTGTGTCTTATGTCGATTACTTGTTTTTAAAACCTGTGCTGAACAAGCCGACGCTTTAATAAGATTTATCTCGACTGCTCTTGAGAAAGAAGGGGTGCCCAAAATTAAGGTGAACCAAAAACGTGATGGGCCAGATTGCTGCGGGTCGTGTTGTTTGGGAAATCACTTCTAGAGAATTTAACAGAAACTGCGGTCTCGAGGGGTGTGTGTCCGGCACAGCGGAGCGGAGGGGGCAGCGCCCGTCCTGGGCTCGGCTCGGTGCCGACAGAACGACACGTTCGTCGAGTTTGTCAAAGGCCAACGGGCAGCGCTGACAGCCGAGGGCTGCCTGCCGCCGGGTTCGCTGTCAGCGGTCGAAGCCCGTTCGGAATAATTGCTGATGGCAAACCGCGGCACCCTGCGCGCCCAGGAGTGCGCGTGGCCGGGAGCAGAGGCGCGGCCCCTCCGCGGGCGGGCCCGGCCGCGCCACTGCCGCTTTAAGGGGGCGTGGCCTCGAGACATCGGGCCATGGGTGGGGGGCGGGGTCTCTTCAGGAGCCAATGGGCGCGCTCGGCCCCGCCCGCGGCTGATGAGAGGAAGCGGCGCGCGGTGCAGGCCGAGCCCGCAGAGCCCCGAGGGAGCCGAGAGAGCCGAACGGCGCCGCCATGGCCGAGTGAGAGCGGGGCCCGGGAGCGGGGCGGGGCGGGGGTGCCGTGCCGGGCCGTGCCGTGCCGTGCCGTGCCGTGCCGTGCCGTGCCGTGCCGTGCCGTGCCGTGCCGTGCCGTGCGGCTGCAGCCGGCTGGCGGCGCCGGGAGGCCCCGGTGCGCTGTTCGCTGTTCGCCGCGGGGGCTCTGCCCGGTGACCCCGCACGGCCTCGGCTCCGCGATCTGCTGCAGCAGCAGCTGGCAGAGTGAAGTGCCCACGTTCCGTGGGAAGGCGCGGGCTGCCCTGGCAGCGGGCACGGTCAGAACGGCCTGGCAGGCAGGGATGCTGCTGCTGCTGGGTCACTGCTGGTGACTGCCCCGGCATTTCTGTTCTTTCACGTTCCAGAGCTGACATTGCTTTGATTGGATTGGCCGTGATGGGCCAGAACCTGGTTTTGAACATGAATGACCACGGCTTCGTGGTAAGTGAATAAGCGATGGTTTAGGAAGGCTGACGGCAGCACCTGGGATTGGAGCTGAGCGTTTTGTGGGCGCTTCCCCCCGCAGCTGTGATGATCCCATGGGCGTTATTTCCTCCTGTTAGTTACACCTGGGCTGGCCTTTGTCCTGTTTCCAGGGAACAGCGGTGCATGCCTGTACTCAGCTGGCACCTGATATGTTAATTATGCGTGGCTTTTCCCTGAAGTCTGCCTTGGCCTTGCCTTGGCCACAGGTTCCCGAGGCACTTGCAAAGACATGCTCGGGTTCATCCCTGCCCTGGGCCTGCCACGAAGGTGGAAGTGGGAGAGCACAGGATGCTGAACCTTGCCTGTATAATTTGTAGTCGAAGCTGAAGTTACTGTTCCACTGGCAGCTTTCATGAACGCGTTTTCCTGCCCCCCCAGGTTTGTGCTTTTAACAGGACGGTTTCCAAAGTGGATGATTTCCTGGCTAACGAGGCCAAGGGAACCAAAGTGATCGGTGCTCACAGCCTGCAGGAGATGGTCTCCACGCTGAAGAAGCCCCGCCGCATTATCCTGCTGGTGAAGGCTGGGAGTGCAGTGGATGACTTCATCAATAAATTGGTGAGGCAGACACTCATTCTGCATGAGGCTTCTTGCTGTCTTTTGGAGGAGTTTCCTCTGGAAGTTCTCAGTTTTTCATCATTAGTGAGGTTTTGAATGTATGGAGAAAACCAAAATGCTGGTTTATTTTTGGCAGGTGCCATTGCTGGAGACTGGAGACATCATAATTGATGGTGGGAACTCTGAGTACAGAGACACCACGGTAAGCCTGTTTCCTACCTAAAGTGAATGAATGAAATACACACGACTTTTCCACTTCTGGTCATCAGAGTAGTCCCTCAATAAGATGCCATCAGCCTGTGCTCTGGAAAAGCCAAACTGATTTCTGCAAAATTAAATCATGCAGCCTATTAAAAAGCAATTAAGGACTGCACTATAAGAATGTTTTTATGGAAGTTACCCATATCACCAGAGAATATTTTTTTCAATGTGTTTTAAAGAGTGAAGGCCTTTAGAAAATTTCATTTTACAATCTTAGGAGTTTTCAGGGAGATTTATAAGTCAAAGGATATTTATAGATTTGTTGCTATTTCTTAATCCTTCGTGCTTGCAGGACAATCCAGTAAGACAGCACTGCTGGTTTGGCTGTCTTGGTGGTGGAAGCAGCAGAGTAGTTTTGTGCTTGTGAGCAGGCTGTTAATGGTGGAAGTTACAGAAGCTGCATTAGCCTGTCTGGGGTGCTCAGGTGAAAATATTGCATTCAGATTGGCGTTTCTAAATCTTAGAGGAGGTGCTCGTGTTCGTGTTCCTGCTCTGATGGGTGGATAAGTGAGCTGGCCGTGGCAGAGTGAAAAGCCCAGTGAGGGTCAGTCCGTGGGGACCCCAGCCTGTGCCCCTCTCCAGCTCAGAGGCAATGCCTTGCCCTTAGAGCTTTCTGTGCTTGCAGCTTCGCTCTGCAGTGAACTCAGCAACTCCACCCTGGGCCTAATCTGCCTCCCACACCTCCACACAGAGCACGTGTCACCTGACACCCAAATCCAAGCCTTTCCTGGCTTCAGTGCTGCTCGTGTCTGTCTGGTGCTCATAAGGACCTGTTTTCTCACCATGTCACTTTTGCAAGGACCCAAAGCAACAGGGAGTTTTCCTAATGCTCACTTTGGTGAATGAACAAGCTTTCTTAAGGCTGGCTTCTAGCACATCCAAAGCAGAACTGAAAACCTAATTTTACATCTGAATTGCTAGCCTTTGTGTGAAAGGCTCTGGCATGAAACAAAATTAAACAGTGCTGCTCTGCTCTTTGTTCCAGAGGCGTTGTAAGGAGCTACAGGCAAAGGGCATCTTGTTTGTGGGAAGTGGAGTCAGTGGTGGGGAGGAGGGTGCCAGGTATGGACCTTCTCTCATGCCAGGAGGAGCCAAGGAGGCCTGGTGAGCATGAACTACTGTATTTTCTTGTTCAGAATGGTTTGCAACAATTCACATTGTGCACGGAGGGAGGGAGGGAGGAGGGTGTGGAGAGAACAAGATATGTTGCCATCTCACTTCCTCAAGGCTGCAGATTTCTCAACCTGGCTGGGGTCATGGGGCAGTGCTAAGCCTTCATGCAAGGCAGAACAAAGGCAGCTTTTCCTCCAGGAATCCACAGGCAAAAGTAGGACTTACAGACAGCTGAAGGGAGAAGGGAGTTTTGCTTAAATTTTAAACAAGTATTATTTCTTATTTTTCTCTTTTGAGGCTGCACACACTTGGGAAGCTGCTAACCATGAACCAGGCAGCAGCAAATGGCCCTGTAGTGACACCTTACAAAAGGAGCTTCAGTACATATTTGTACTACTGTTGAATGCATCAGTTTATTTGCAAGTTTCTGCATGCTGCTGTGCTGTTTTGTACTCGTGCCTCAGTAAAGGACTGCACATCAGTGCTCATATTAGACTTTATCCCTGGTTGCCCATTCTCTGTATAGGTGTGGAAAGAAAAGGTGTGCCTAGGCTTTAAGTGAGCTTAGTATCTCTTGAGCCCCTGTCCATTTGCATTAGTGGTTCATACCTGTATCAGCCTGTTCAAACTTGATGGCACAGAGCCACCAACAACAGTAAGTTTCTGCCCAGTCATCTTTTGCTTTGATCAGCTAAGGACAGACAGCTGTGCTCAAATGGAGAGGATGTCTGGGCTCCTTGAAGGGCACTGTGCTTGTCCATGCACTGTTGGAAGCATGACTTGATTGTTCCAATGTCTTGCAAAGTGTCTACTTGGGAAAAACATATTTAATTGGCATTGCTGTGTGGATGGGTTATCAACCTGCCCAGTGCCCTCAGCCCAAGCTGCCTTTGGCAGGTTACAGAAGGAGGCATCATACTGGTACTTGATTTGTTTTCTCTTGTGGTGTTTGTATCCCCTGCCTGGCTGCTAAGGTGTATTCTTTCTCCCCACAGGCCCCACATCAAGACCATATTTCAAAGCATTGCTGCTAAAGTGGGATCTGGGGAACCTTGTTGTGACTGGGTAAATAGTCATTTGATACTGACCCTAGCCTGGGGTTAGAGCCAAGCTTAGGCAGTTTGGTTGCTGAAGCTCATGGATGTGTGTCCACAATGAACACAGCACCATCAGTGGTTGATTTTCTGCTGTGTTCGTTTCCAATCCACCATCTCTGATAACTCATGCCATGCAGTGGAAAGACAAAGTTCTGTGGCTGGGTCATGTGCTGGGGGAGCTCAATGGACCTGTGACCCACTGGTTTCAGTCAGCACTGTCTTTGGTTCCCTCCTTTAGGCAGAAGGAAGCCATGGGCAGGTATTAAACACTGGAAGTGATGACGATGCTGTTGCTGAGGGGATTTTTGGATGTTTCTGAACAGGTGGGAGAGGAAGGAGCTGGACATTTCGTGAAGATGGTGCACAATGGGATCGAGTATGGAGACATGCAGCTGATCTGTGAGGCCTATCACCTGATGAAAGATGTGGTGGGCATGGAGCACGATGAGATGGCAAAGGTGATTTGCAGTTTTTAATGTCTTTCCTTTCTTTGTGCCATGGTCTGTGTGCCACTGGTGAGGTGCTGGGCTTGGGTAAAGCTGCTGCATGTCCATGAAGTGAATTTTTCTGACATGCCTCCTGCAAGGGTGGGGCACAATATTCCTCATGAGCTTTACAAGAGATAGCAGTGAGCACAGACAGCTGAATGCTTGCAAAAGTTGTATAAACCTCTTCCTATGCTACAGTTGATTTCTCTCCAAGAAGCACCTTCATGTACAGAGATGTGAACTACCTTGCCTGAAAAGAGCTAGTGAAACACTGAGCATTGTAATCAAGCAGGC